CTTACTGCAGCTGAGGATATGCCCTAGTGAGACTGGGTTTTCTTGGTTTAGGCATTGGATGGAAAAAGAGAATTCGTTGCCTTTCTTGTAAATAATGACTTTGAAATTTAGCTCTGAAGTATTTCTTAGATATCCCTACCTTTCTAACAAAACATGCTAGTCTAAGTTTTCATATTTATTTTCATTTTATATTCAGATTTATTGGTGCATTGTCATTTATTTATTAATGATTATTGCCTTCATCATCTTTATGTAAGCCAGCTGTGGCTCTCTGGTTTTATGTATGGAATCTGAGGGTAGCAGTATCTCAGACTGAGAATTTTCAGAGAAGTTTTGGTCCTCAGATGACATATGTCCAAACACTCTCCCTTATTTCTGTGTGCAGAGATTAGATCTCCTCCATCCTAAATTCTTCAAATTAAGAAGCTATAAATCTCTTTATTACTTGCAAATATATAGGATGGTAGTTCAGGGAAACTAAACAGATGATATTGCTTGTCCTTCAATATATAATTAAATTTTCTTTCAGGTTGACATGAGGGAATGTTTTGGAAAAAGCCCTTGAACCCTCCCCATAACTCAAAAACCAACACTCATGCAGCCAGGCTACTGCCAATTGCTGTATAAATGTGTTGGCCACAAGGGACAAGGCCAAACCCATTGTCACTTTCAGCTCCTCTTCCACCATTTCTCTGTAACTTCAAAACTTGTCCCATTTCTTTCAGTGCAGCAGTTATCAGAAGAGTTTCTATGGTCTCTGATGATGATGAGTTCTATCAAACCAGTGGGAATTAATGAGTCCTATTAAACCAGAGCAGGGAATTTGAAAACCATTCAAAAGGTGCTGCAGAACCAGTGTTTGGACAGACATAGTGAAGCCTAAATTGAACCAGAGGAATTAATGTCATGCCACTGAGATAAGCTGTTTTCCTGCCATGGGATGGGGGAGGAACAAAAAAACAATCATAGATGCCAAAGACTTTTGTGATCCACCATTGGTTTAATAACAATAGCTGATTAATAAGTTTTTGCTATCCAGTTGATTGATCTCTTTTAGCTTCTTTTTGACTAGGCTGTTTAAATTATGCCATTTAAATCAGTATTTAACATTACACAAATCTTTCTATTCAGATTTCTAATGTCCTAATCTCCCCGACTTGTCCAATTTCCTATACTATAGTGGAGTCTGAGAAAAAGAAAATTGTTTTGCAATATTGAGAGGTGATGCTTGGAGCAGGAAAATGCTTTCCTTTCTTATCTACTGTGTTAGAAAAATCTTTGGGCTATTTACAAGTGTTTTCTAGTGGGTAACACTAGAGAAGTTTGCTTTCCTGACCTTAGCATGGTTCCATCCAAAATATTGCAGCTCTGTAATTGTCTTAGCAGCAACAGTACAACCCAGACTGCAGAGTGCTGGGTATGTGAGTCATGCTAAAGCCAGACATTGTGCAATTTGGCAGGAAAAAGTGACTGAGAAGAATATTTTAGATGAAATACTTTCTGACTCCTTAGCTTGAGGGCACATATCAGGTTACAGGGCAAACATGCTTTAGAATGGATGATGTTCTAAAAAGAAGTGGAGAACTTTGAAGGCACTGTGCTGTAGGCCAGATGAATTTCAAAAAAAAATCTCAGGAGAAAATAATCCTATCAATATACTATGCCAATCTTTGAGTAATTCCTCTTTGCTTAGACATGAGAGATGTCTCTTTTTATAACTTTCTACTTCATAAAAGATATAAGGTTTGTAGTACTGGAAGTCAAATAATATGTATTTATTCAAGAGCAATATTCAATTGCATGCATTCCTGCATGAAATTGTTTATGTGCTGAGATTTGAGATGGAAGATCTCAATCCAGCAGGTCTGAGCTTTGATTTTTCAGTAGGATGCTGTGCACATCTTGGGGGAAGTCCCATGCACATTGCTGTGTAAAGTCCTGCCAGTAGACAATGACCTTCATTAGAAATTGAACCAAATTTCACCACAGCAAACTGACAAAGGCAGTAGCTTCATCACTGCAGTAGAGAAGGTCTAGCAGGCCCTAAACATCCCTTGCACTACCAGAATTTTAGTTTGGATTGTGACTGTGGGAGAATTTTCATGGTACTGAGTCTTCGTAAGTTCAAGGGCAAGGATTTAAAAGGTGTTTGGTGAATGTGATTTCTTTCATCTCACATGTCATAGAAAAGAATGTATTAAAATACTAAGTTTTCAGAAAGTGCTGCATTTTCTTTGCTCCTTGCAGAGACTCAAAGTGGTTTTTCAAAACAGATGTGTCTGGTTATTGTTTTGTACTAAGTGAAGCTCCTGTGAAAAGGAGGAAGTCTGGTCTGAATTTAGAGTGGCAGGTTGGTTTTACACCTATAGCGGTTGTAATTATACTGTAGAGGGTCTTTTGATATTAGTGATAATCTGTGTTCATTTTTTAAAAGTCTGTTCAGTTAACACTTCAAATGAAAGATGGTCAGTGGTGTTGAAAGCTAGATTTGCTGTGAGCACTTTCCTTGAAAGACTAGGCAGAAAAACCTGTTGTGGAGTTTGCTTTTGTGGTATTCTGGTCTGTCATGGTTTTGTTACTCACAATCTAAAACATCAGATCAATGAAATACTGAAATATTTTAATAAGAGGAGGCACATCTCTTGTTGAGGGTGTTTAGACAGATTTGTAGCAGTGGGAAGGATATTTGGGATGACTGCAAATGCTGGTTGCCTGCAGCCAATCTCACTGAGCTGCTGAAATACCGGTGTGAGGATGGGTAAGGAATTAAGATGCTGGATGATTAACAGCAAGGACAATTTGTATTGTTGTACTGGACTTAAATCATCCTACGTCTTGTCACACTTCTCCTAAATGAATTATCAGTGTTTGCCACTAGAGATACATAGCCTGCATATTAAGGAGAAGTCATTAACCATCTAGATTGCTCCATGTTTTTTCTATTCTCTCTTCTGCAGTGAAATCCTAACGTACATTAATGTGAGAATGGAGACATTGTGCCCAAGGATGTAGGCCAAAGCAAATAATTGTGCACTAAACCCCTTCCTGATCAGTAGATCAGGACTGTGATCGCTCAGGAGACAGAAAAGGATTGGAATAGTGAAGTCAGACATGGAGTAATAGTGGCTTATCTTGCCCTTCACAATTTTGCAAGGAGGAAGTTGTGCCTCATCTATGGAGGGCTTTCTCTCCACTTCCCTTAAAATACTAAAAATTTTTAAAGGAACTTCGTAAAAATAATTTAGAGAGGAGTTTGTTGCTGACTGAAATGTATTGAAACAGAGCCACTGTGTACATTGATAGGATATAAAGGAAGACTCTGTTTTTCATCAGTATAATCTCTTTTCTCTACATGTAGTTCTTCAATTAATTTTTTAGCAGGGGAAAGAGTTAATTATGTTTTGGAAATAAAAATGAGATTTATAATATTCACACACTTTCACCTTTAATAAAACTTCTAGATTGATACACCAGCAATAACTCTTGGAGCTATGAGATACAGGAGTTAATAAAAAGCCTATCAATTTTAATTCAAAATGACAGAATACATCCTGATTTATTGTGATGTAAAACATGATCTCCCCTATGATATGGTATTCCCACCCTGAAGAATATTCTAATTTAATCATAATTCTCTTATATTTCTAGTAATTAAATAACATCCCATCAGTTACAAATAGAACACTTTATGTACCAGATTTTCACTGCTTTATGTCTCCTTCTGAGCAGCTCTGTGGTATAAAAGGATGAGGCCTGGTAGTTCACTGAATCTGGAATATTGTAACAAGAAGCAAACATTTTCAAGAATGCAGTGTTTTAAAATAGAGTACACAGCAGAAGCCTTACTCTTAAAAGGAGAACACGATTTTTAAGGCTTTCCATGAGCACTCAAAAAAGGATTTTCTCTAAGGACAGATGAAAGATAGAATGTTTTTCTTATCATTGGGTACAAGCATTTTGAGTGAAAAGATGAGTCCTGGAAAAAGGAGAATCCTCCTGAAAACCTGCAAATTCAGCTGGTGTGCTTGTCCCCTCAGTCTATTGTTATTATCCACCCTAAATGGTCATTAAAATGAAATGTGTGACTGCCAGCCTGCATAAGCAGACCTTGAGTTAGGTGAACTAGAGAGGCCTTGGTGATAACGATTTACCCGTTCAGGTGTTAATAATGTTTCAATACAATGCTTGATGAACTGTAATGGCTTCAAATTACATGCTTAGTAATGATGTGGCAGTTTGTTGCCAGCAGAATGTACCATTGCAGCAGCAAGGCACACACTAAGGGCAGCTCTGTTAGAGAGTTAGAACGGTAATTTGGTTTTCAGAAGCTGCCATTGATACTGAAAGAAATTATAATCCAATTTGGCATTCTGCTCCAATATTGAGCCACTGTTTGAATAAGCAAAATCAACACATAGGAATGCTTGTGTCTGACTTCTATCCTGGGGAGATCAGAAGTACAGAATACATAGAAAGCTGCACCAGTCTGCGGTGGCTTTATCTTTGGAGCCCAAACAGCACATTAAACTACATTAAATTCAGTTCACTAATTTGCAGTTATCCATTTAAGCTAAAATATCCTAACTTCTGTTCCTCTCCAGCTCATGTGATTCTGAAAGAAATATTCTGTGCTATTTTGGACCATTCCCTCAGGGCATATAGTCACATTCCTCCCTCCCATGATAAAATCAGTTGCCCTTGGACTGCTAGGGTGAGAAGAATTGAAGCATTGTCTCTTTCGATTGTTAGATCTTGCAGTATTTCTAAATAGTGCAATATTACTGAAATTTAATCAGTATCTGATACTAAAGTCAAGATATTACCATGGCTTCCAACTGCTATTTGAATATTTCAGCTTGAAATAATCATCTGTGGATTGGTGTGCTTTAATGGAGCAGAGAACATATTCTGTTATTGTCTAATCCATTCATCCTCACTTGCCAATTTTTTAAGCCTGTCCACATCTACATTTTGTCTTTCTTCCCTTCTTGTCTGTACAGGGAAGCAATTTGGTGACTTTGCTGCCAGGTCAGTAGTGTCACTGGGAAATGCTGTTTGCACTGCCACCTCTGGAAGTAAGGGTGGAAGACCTGAAAAGGGCTGCTTTTACACAACAGTTTTGAAGAACACCTCTGTGCAAGACAGCATTCCAGCACTGCCTGTGTTCCCGTGGATAGGGATCCATGGCTCAAGGCCTGATTTTGCAAGTAAGGTCCATTTAAATATTTTCCCCTGATTTTTTTTTTTTATTTTATTTTTATTTGCAGTCTTTTGTTGCCAGTGAGTTCCACCACTAAATCTCCTCTACTACTTCATTTATCTAAATGCTCATATGTCATTCCATGTCTGTCTGGTTTGCACTTTTTTCTTATTAATAAATAATAATAATAATAAATAGCTCACCCTAAAAAAAAAAAAAAGTGAGATTTGGGAAGATAGTGCTCTTTTTGTTGACAACAAATTAAGTGTGTATTATTTTAGGCAGTGGAATATTTGCCAGAGTTACAACACTTCAGGGTTTGCTTTTTTCCTTTCCCCCCTCTCTTCTCTCAAAGTGTTCCTGTTACCTTGGGATAAAGGGATCAGCCTTAAAAAAGATGTTTTTGATCTAAGAGTATGACCAAAAACATCTCCCACAGGTATCATTAGACACCTCAACTATTGCCTTGCAGTTACCTTTATCTCACATGTACAACTTTAAGTAAAGCAAGATACATAAAATATGAAAATAAGGATCTCTAACGGTGTTACTGAAGCTGGTTAGTGAAATGTCTGCATCTCATCAGTTAGCATTCCGAGGGCAGGAGCAGCAACCTGGTGCTAGCTGTACTGGCTTGATGCTGTAGCAATCAAACTGCAATTAAGAAGTAAATTATGCTGAGTACAACCTGTACTGAGGGTGCGAGATGGAAGAGCCCATCGGGGTGACCTGGTTGTGTTGGTAGCCACCAAGACTCTGCACAGGTGTAAAAAAGAGCCCTCTTTTCAGTTTAGATGTTTTGCAACTGGTAATTGTAGCATCTTTGCCATCCAGCCACAGTGTCTGTCCATGAAGACAGCTCCTAGAGTGTGCCTGTAAAAACCAGGGACCTTATTACCCAATTCAAAGATCTAACCTGCCTTTATTTGACTTTTCTCTGTCCCATTACCAGGATATATTAGGACGAAGCAAATCTCCTCTAAGTAGACATCCAATTACGAGGCTTGCAGTTTGGTGATGCATTCTGTGCTTGCTGGATTTACAGGGCAATAATCTGGTGCATACTGATGAACCTCACTGGGGGACAGAGGTGTTTGCAGTGTGCTGTTTGGATTGAGACAACCATTACTTGGGATAGATATGGAGGGGAAAGCAGACTTGTTTTTGTTGTGCTAAATGTTCCAGTAAAGATGGGCACATTTTATGCCATCCTGCTGTGCATCTTTTGAAACACTTCATACACCCAATCAATCACATAGTGGTAAATTGGATTTTATTTAAAAATTTAATTGGATTGGTCTTACATGAATAAGTATTAGGAAAAGTCCTTTATCTGGTAAATGTTCAAAATTTTAGCAATGTTAAAATTTAATTTTTTTGAAAACTGCTTTACTGGTGAAAATGTAAATTTTTTCCCATTTAAGATTACAGCCATTTTTTTTGAGTCTGTTTGAATAAATGGAATTTCTTCAAGTGAGTGACTATAATGCAGTCATTTCTGGAAATTTTACTTTCTGCTTATGATTACATTAATAACATTTCTAGCTTTGCTGACTATATAGAAGGATTAAGTTTTGTTGCTGTGATTCCTCACTTGAGCTCTGTGACTAGTTGATCTGTGATGGGGAATTTTATTAACCAGTGTAAGCCAATGATGTGACAGATTAAAATAACTTGATTAATTGATTAAAAATAGCTGCTTATAAGTAAATACTGACATATTATGACAAAAGAGTAGAGATTATCTCTCGCATTAACACTGCAAGAATAGAGCCCTTATGAATTTAAAGTTCTTGCTTATGTAATTAAGTAATTATCTCAGTGACTCTTTTGAAGAAAAGTACAAAAGAAAACATGCTGTATATGAAAAGAACAATGAATATTTTAATAGTTACATTAATACCAAAGGGAAGCCTCAGGGATTTTTCTCCTGGTGGGTAATTGACAGTAATACAGATTTTAATTTATGTCTTGACATTCCTTTTTTCTGTTTCAAAACTGAACTTACTTCATCCCTTAAGTTTCTCCATAGCAAATAAACAGATAATATTCTGATGGAAAAGCCACAGCTATGTGTGCTTTTGCTCATGTTTTCCTCATGGGCATAAACTCCAGTGTGCAGCGTGGTCCGTGAGGATCGGCCGCCTTTCGCTGTGCCTGGGATGAGCTGCAGTGGCACTGAGCAGGAGGGAGCTGTGCACTGCTCCTTGCATGGCAGTGACTCTGTGCAATGGACTGGCAGCTTCTGAACCTTTCTAAAGGTCTGTGGTTAGCGCCACTTTCTAGATCATTTCTCTTAACGTGGAGCATGAAAACATGCGGCTCTGCAAAACACAACAGGGCTTTCTCAGGGCTTGCCAAATGAGCCCAGAAGTAAACTTGATCCTCTTATGAAAGCATGGGCTTGCTGCTCACAGGCAGGGCTGGGACATGTGTCAGGGGCACACAGGTACCCACACCTGCTGTGGCTCTGGGGAGGACAGTGTCCTCTCTGCACCTCTGCCTTCCGTGGTTTGTCAGCTACTCACAAGGTGCCAGGTAAAATCTGAATAGCAGAGCTGAGCCAAGCAGATTGCCACAACTTTCCATTAAACTGTCAGGTGCAGGAGCAGCTCAGGGTGTCTTAAAAACAAAGTTATGTACCACACAACTTTGTGGGTTGTGTTTTTTCTTGCTTGATTTTGAGAGTGTGGTAGAGCGTGTGTGAGCTGCCTTCTCTGTTACTTGGGCTGATGCTCTTGACTACATTAGGAAGCAAACTCTGGGAAATTCGCATTATATGTAACACCAAATCAAACAAAGCCACATATGTGAAATGGAAAGCAAAGGAAACCAGAGGGTGTGTATTCCAGCCAGGAAAAAAAAAATTCAAATGGCTGTTTATCTCATAAAAGACCTTCCCGTGAGAATCTGTAATTCTTTAAGCCTGGACTCTGTGCCATGAGATGAATTTCCCTTAAAACAACTTCAAGTCCAACAATGCATTTTATGCCAATACCAGATTACAGCATTTTCAATAAACACTGCTGACTTTCCCAAGATCAGAAACATCTTTGGGGTCTGGTTTTGCAAAACTTTTAGTACTGAGCAAGGTTAATCTATCCTTTTAAACAAGTTCATTCTGTGAGTTCTTTGGTAGGTACTTATTTCTAAATGGGGTATTTATTTTCTTTTTCAGCCTTTTCAACATTGTAGTTATTCTGGAGGTGTTCTTGTTTTCTTGGTGGTGTGGAACATGGAGTAAACTTTCAGAATTGTTCCCACATATTTGTTTTGCAAGTCTTCCATAGTGCTAGTAACTAGCCAAATTTTGAAGAGCTTATATGCTTTGTTCAGTTCAGTATAAATTCATGTCATGGATTTTAAGACTTCTAAGGCCTCTGGTATTTTTCATTTTAGGCTTGTAATTAGTTTTACTGAACTAATAGATTCTGTGGCAGAAATTAAACTGCTCAAATGGTATGAGAGCTCACATGAAGAAAATTTTTCTCAGAATATTCTGAGGTATCATAAATGGACCAACATTTCTGAGTCAGAGAAGATTTTGTATTTCCAGATGTCTTCAGAGGATCAAATTTTCCCAGAATAAAGCCTGTAAGTTACTTAGTGAAATCTTGGAGTTCCAGATTGAGAAATACTTGGAACATGAAAGCAGTCAGCAAACTGCAGTGCACACCCCCAGGAGCTGAGTCCTGAGAAGTTTCTCACATGAAAGGCTTTGTTGAAATCTTAAACTTTTAATAAGTCATGAATTTGAAAAAAAACCTGACAGTTTCTGTTTAAAAAAGAAAACAAACAAACAAGCCTGCCCCCCCCCAACCCCAAAAACTACAAAAAAAGCCCCAAAACAAAAAGGTAAAGCTGAAAGTCCCCTAGTTTGTTTTTATTTTGGTTTATTTTTTATGTTACTGGTGCATGCAAGTGTCACTCTCTGGTTCCTTATCTTTGCTGAAGGACTTGGAAGGCAATGAAATTACTTGATTTGATATTAGCTCCAAACTTTCCTTTTATTTGTAGGACTTTTGACAGATCTATTTCAACAGATCTATTTGTAGGACTTCCAACAGATCTAGTTACAGTCATAGGACATGGCTTAGTCCAAGGAAGTAGCTTGTGAGAGCAAAGCTGTGTGAGTTGACAGAGAGCCCTGATGTGTCCCTCATGCTCTGCACAGGGGAGTTTCTAAGGGCTGGTCCAGGGTGCAGTGGCTGAAGTGCAGCAGATCCAGCTCAAAACCAGTTTGGTTCTGGAGGGACAATAGTTCAGGCATGTGCTTGGTGATTAAAGCCACTGAGAAACTGCAGAAAATTCCAGAAAACTGTTGTGAGCTTCAGGCTCCTGTGGGTACACAAGCTAAATAGGATTACATGAGCATGTTTGTGTAAGAGCAGTGCTGCAGCAAAGCATTACTGTAAAATATTAAATGGGGAAAACCTCTCCTTGTTCATGCTGGGCTGGCTTTGGTGTGGCTCTCTCCTCTTCACCAGTCCCAGATATTTCCCAGGAAGAGAATTCCTTCTCCCTGCTCTTCCCTGCTCCCTGTTCAGCCTTGCTTTGTCTTCACCTGCCCTTGTCTGTCACTCCAAACATCTAAAAGAGAACCTCTTTCCTCCTCTATCTTGTTTTCCTTTCAGTTCTCCCCAATACATGACTAGAACGCTTGGAAACAACATCTTGGAAAGCTACCAAAAAAATGAGTAGCATTGACAAAGGAAGTGTAATTGTTTAAAATGAGTCTGTGGAATTCTTCTGCAAATTGAATCAAAGACAGAAAAAAAGGGACAGGGCAACGAGAGGATCTGTAGAGGGTGATAAGAAAGGGAGAGGAGCTAGGTATACATCTGACTTAGATTCAAGAATTTCACACTGAAATCTAAGTTTTATCATGTACTCTTTTTGACTTCTAATATACAGTGCAGCTCTCGTAGTTTGTGGTATGCAGTATTTCCTTGACAACATATTTCATGCACCTGCATTGTTTAGTCATTCTGGAAAAGGGTTTTCTTGTCCTTGATGTGATTGTATATTTACACAAAGCATTACCTCTGCAGTGAAATTCAGATGTTTTCTCTGTGACCATATCTGATATGAAGAGGTCTGGGAGTCACAGAAGCCTCAGAGGAAAAAGAGTTTCACACAAGTGTCTCCATAAAACTGGTCATGATGGTTTCTTAGGCAACCTTTTCCAATCATGCCAAGCCTTGACTCTGCCTCAAGCTGCTGAACTCTCTGATTTTCCACTTCACTCAATAAAAACCTCACAAATTTGTGACTGCATATTTGATTAGTACTGATGTGTGTAAATAACACACCAAGGAATCCAGAGCAGGCAGTCCCATGGGATTTCTCTCATGGATAAGGTCATTTCTTCAGCCTCAAGTTTTTATTTGATAAAGAAATTTGTCCCATGGTGGGAGGAATCCCTCCTGCCTACAGACACCTGACTCAGCCCTGTACTGCATGCTGAAATCAAGGAAACCATAAGGGCTTATACTTGTTTCATGACTGACCCTTTATTCTTGTTTCCCAAGGACAAGCATAATGCTTTTTTGTTCTGGAGATACTTTTCAGAGGTGGAAGGAAAATGAAAATATGTGCACATATGACACTTCTTTTGATATTCTATATTATTACAATAAATGAAATTCAAATTTTGCAACATTTTTTTTGTTCCAAAACAGCTGTGTATAAATTTTTACCTTATGAGAACTCTGAAAGAGGGAGGTTGGAAAATGGAACAGCATTTTTTTCTTTCTGAATTTCCAGTGTCAAGTCTTAATGCTCTGTGTAGATCTCTCATTACCATCCATATCACAAGATAATAAATTTAAATCTGTATATATCAATGGTAAGGCATTTCTAAAAACACTTGATGTGGTCAAGGTGCAATGTCTTGCAGAAACTGTCTTGCCAATACTCCTGGAAGACAGGAGTGTTTATGAGAGGAATGGATGAAAGGCACAGTGCTGCTCACACTTGATTTTACGTGGTTTTTCAGGGGTTTATGCTGGCTGGCATCTTTTCAAGACAGGATGCCTTTATGTTCTAAGAGCTGTGTAGTACTGCAGGACAGAATTGCTTTCTGGGCTATTTTTAGCTGTATTAAATCTTAAGGAATAATCCAAAATTATGAATTTATGGAAAAGGTTTGGCTTTCAATGTTTCTTACCCTTCCTTTCTGTTTCCCATACTCTTTTCTCCCTCTCTCTGGTTCCTCACCCAAGTGCTTGATATCAGCATTTTTAGAGCCCAGTTA